TTGCCTGAGAACATCATAGACGAGAGATTCAGCTGGGTTCCAGATGGGTCTCTCGAAAGAACCAAATTAGTTTGCAGATGAGTGTATATCCGGAAACCGGACTGCTTCGTTACAGTTTTGGTCTTTAGCCTCTGTTTGGCAAGATCAGAACGGTTGCTTAGTCGATCATCGAATGGGAGTACTCTCAAGCAGGACCGGGTTGTTTCACCTTTTGCAGGTGGTATTCTCAGAATGCAGTGGAAACATTTCAGTTTACCCCTAGAAGCTAAACGGGGGCTTCACTGAACTTGCCATTTCCTAGGATGTGGAATGTGTGATTCATGGGTGACTAGAATAAGCTATGGTTTTTGTGCGATTACCTGCCGACCTCATGTCTCACTCAGCACTGGCAACATGTTATGTGAATGAAAACCTGAAGTTGTTTTATCTACGGAGACCGGAATGCTTAACCCAGCATGATCCTTCATACACGATATACTGTTAATTTATACCCATAAAATGTATGATCCTGAGCCAGCTGTCTTTACCTATGCCACGTTCTATCCATGTAACACAGACCGAGAAACCAGAGGACCAAGAGTTGAATGAACAGAAAACACCTTTGTCTGCACAGGCGGAGGTAAGTTGACTGTTGTTATTCTGGATAGGATGATTAGGAATGCCACCTAATCTCACTATATTGATGCTCCTAATTCTTCATATGCATCTATCTGATGGTTTGTTCTTCACAAACATTCTACAGGTCAGCGACTGTGCTCAGCATATGGAGAAAACGGGGTGAGTTAAATTTTTTTGTTTCCGGTTGTGCTAACGTTAATTGGTTAGCTCTGCTAAACCGTGTTAGGTGCTCTGACAAAAAATTATACATTGTTATTTCTCCAACTGATAAACATAGATCTTCTACTCAGTTGGGAGAAACCAGTTGCTCACTTCTAACCTTACACTTTCGGAGATTTGGCCACTGACAGACAATTGTCCGTTGCTTTCAAGCAAAACGGGAATACTGGATACTTGTTAGAATCGCGAAGCACTTTATCCATCCACAGTCTATAAAAGTTGGTCTCGGTCTTCAATCGAAACAATCTGATTGCTCGTCTTCAGGTGTAGACAACCTGGTAATGTTACAGTCCCAGTCTTTCTGCAAGGCACACGGCGGTTTTGTTCTCGGAAGGATGCCATGACAGAGCAAATTCACTTGTTTTTGCTTGTAACCCTTCAAAACGGTTATTTCAATACTCGATGCAATTAGCATAAATAGTAAGCGGTAGTATTGTATGGTGGGTTATAACGGAGAGACCAGTACACTGCAAAATCCCTCAGGAAAGTTGCCTTCACATTTGGGTATATTTTTTGCAACTCCTAAGGTAAAAAAAAAACTATGGCATGCGCTCCTGAGCGTGTTGACGGCAAACAGGAAAGACACTTGCCGCATGATCCTGAGAGATGAGGCCGTAGGAGTTCTATTATTCCCAATGGAGATCATCACGTGGGCAGTTTCGGGACTGATCACGTGAACAACTGAGTGGCACTTACAAGTCGCCAGCCTCATTATTCTATTCAAGATCCGGTAAACTTCCACTCCAATGGCCTGTATGTTATCCTGAGGCCTGGTGAGTACTTCGTAAGCTAACCGGTATATCCCAGAATCACGTTACTCATGTGTCGCACTGCGGTGAACCCATGATTTACATATAGCATAGCCCTGTACTCCAATATGGAAGCTTGTGAGGCCGGCATGACAGTCCCTACTCGTGTTTTTGGAGTCGACTGGTCAGTAAGACCAGAATAATAATCTCTTATCCTGAAACAAACAGGGCACAATAGTTTTTCCCGCGCGATTGAACAGATAATCGGAATGAGGATAAACAACTAGAATATGCTGGATGAAGTTGACGCGAAGAACCAGTTCATCAACGATGAGTTCTGCTTATTAACTTATCCGCTTGGATCGGCAACACAGTAATTCCTCTGCGATCTATTTTAAAGAAAAAATGTATTTCAAATGTGGGGCTAACACTCGAAATGTTGCAATTCAATCTGCCGCTTCATTGGAATTATCCAGCAAGTCAACCCTTGGCTTTCCGTTCGAGTGGTATAGTCACCGTCTAATGTTGGATACAGAGGAGGACTATAACCCTTAATTTGTAGCGTCTACGGGCATTTAAATGTCCTAGGTATGCACGTTGGTAATCGGATAAGACGAACAGTGTTATTGCCGGAAGACCATCGTGATGAACCTGATCGTTGAATGGGTGCGCCTTTAAACGCTGACTGTATTTCCGAGTGTGTTGAATTCACGTTGAGTCTTTGTTCACGGCTTGTTCACAGATAAACTCGCAAACACTTAACAGGTTTGCTTTTATTTGTGTTTATGGCATCCTTAGAGCTGCATTCTTTCCAGTTTTTTCCCATATCTCTTTCTTCGCGCATCTGCTCAACCTTCGACTATCCATATTGAATCCAGGGACAGCCTGTCATTTCATTTCAAAGTTCCGTTCCACCTACAGATTAGGTGACATCAACATTTTGAACTGCGTTCGCCTCACATGATCATCATCATCATCATCATCATCATCATCATCATCATCGACAGCACGACATCAGTGTTCAACACCAATTCTTCACTGCCGTACAACCATGGCTTATTTGAAATCCTTATTGTAAAGAAAGGAATAAAGGTGGTTGGGGGAGGGACTTAGATCTAGCTTACCAAAATCATTTCGAGGTGCCTACACCCCCAGACATTCACTCAGGCAATCTGGACAGAAGCTGACAACAAGAACGCCACTGACATCGGTTGGCAGCCATATCTTGTAGTGTCTCTAACCAGGCACAGTGAGGATCACGCGGTCCCCATCCTGGAAGGCGAGTAGCACCGACAGCACCCAAGCGTTTCGTGATCTCCTTCATACTCCTCTGCCAGGTCAAGGGTTGGCCACCTCTCTGGTTACGCCACTTTGAGTTGGGCATGGAAAAAAGCACCCTCCTTGGCAAACGATGGTTCGGCATACGCAACACATGTCCCAACCAACGCAGCTTCTGGTGCTGGACAC